ACACCACCTGCCCTTTTAATTTTTTGTTTTGTTTTGTTTTCAGACAGTGTCTCACAAAGTTACTAAGTTACCCAGGCTTGTGATCCTCCTGCCTCAGCCTCCCAGAGTGCTGGGATTATAGATATATGCCACTACCCCCAACTTTATTCCTGCTTTTTAAAATGAAACTATTCTTTTTTTTTTTTTTTCCCCCAGTACTGGGGATTGAACTCACAACCTCACGCTTGCCAGGCAGGCGCTGTAGGCCACTGAGCTAAATCCCCAGCCCCTAAAACTATTCTTTAGAGGCAGTAAAAACAGATGTTTTTTCTCAGGCTCTGATGTAGTCTTAGTGTAAGTCGGTTTTTTTTTTTTTGGTAGTCTCCTGTTTTGGGGTCATTTTAGGGGGAAATGAGTAAGTAGAGGTGCTGAGTCCTTTAAAAATATGAAAGAGCAGACTTAAAGGTAAAAAAATAGACTAAAATCTGTAATTTGAGACAGGAGATGCTGTACATTAAGTAGATTACAAACACTCCTAGAAATACATTCTGAGTAAATTCTAGCTCACTTTTATTATGTATGAATAAGTACTGCTGTACATGTTCAGGAATATAAGAAATATGAACACTAATATTAGCATTAATTGCCACAAACACATACGGATTATGTGGTGAATTAAGAAAAACTGCATAACTTTTCCTTATTAGCATTTCCTGAACCATGAGATTAGTTTGCTCAAGCGTTTTATTTTTAATTTACTTGATGTTATTTTTAATTCACCTTATTTTATTCAAAATTGTTTTTCTGCAAATGATAATAATGCTGTCCTGGCAAAGCAACGTTATTACCCAGACACCCGAGGCGTGACGAGTCACGTCACCTCTTAGTTCCGTCTTTGGTCACAGCTGCAGAACAGTTTTCCAATGATGATGGATTTCATTATCAGGTCTTCTGCAGAAAAGCTGCTGTATTCGTATAGATGAACGGTCATTTTAATTAGTTTATTATTTTGGATTTGGTGAAATCCTTTAATGGATACTCCAGGTAACTAGGCAGAAAAAGATGCTATTCTTTCATGCAGCACACATCTATAAACTGGGCATGGTAGTGCACGCCTGTAATCCCAGCACTCAGGAGGCTGAGGCAGGAGGATCATCGCAAGTTCAAGACCAGCGCGGGCTATAAAGTGAGCTCAGCGCCAGCCTGAACTGCATAGTGAGACCCTGTCTCAAAAAGACAAAAAAATTAAAAATGAATTCAAGACCAGCCTGGACTGAACAGTGAATTCAAGGCCAGTTTGAACTACATAGTGAGCTGGGCATGGTGGCTCATGCCTGTAATCCCAGCACTTGGGAGGCTGAGGCAGGAGGATAGTTGCAAGCTCAAGGCCAGCTTGAACTGCAAAGCCAGACCCTATCTCAAAAAGACCAAAAAAAAAAAAAAAACCCCAAACATTTACATAACACCTATAATGTGGCAGGCACTATATGTCCTCCACCCTCCATTCCTTTTTTCAACTGCATGAATGCTGAGCACTGCTCTGGAGGACAAGGAGCCTGGACCTGGAGAGCCGTCTTACTATCTGCCTTCTTGGGCTTGTACCCTAGCTGAGGGGAGATTCGTACACATGCATGCAGACCATGGGTGCGTGAGGCAAGTGTGGAGAGAAAAAGATCAGAAAGAGCATCACAGAGGGAGAAGGATCTTGTAAAAGATGTGAAAGGTGGAAGAGAAGGGTCTGGCTGAGTTGTAAGAATGCACAAGGTGGCTCATTCCAACAACACGGGAGAAGAAGAGAGACGCTAGGTGAGGCAGAGAGACCAAGTGAGCAGTGGTAGGACCCTGGCCGGGGAACAGCAATGCAGGGAGAGAGAACACAGGAGATACACAAAATGGTAAAGAGAAATAGGAAATTGCTGCTTGGGTTTGAGGAGTAGAGGGAATAAATGGGGTCAGGAAGCCTCCCAAGGTGGGAAGGCTCAGCCGTCTCCTGGAGGGCATACGCTCGTACTAACCCAGGACCTGAGAAACAGTGTGGTAGGGATGAGTGAGCCAGCTTTGACGCCCCTGTGAGACCCCAGTGGAGCATGCACAGTTCTGTAAGCAGAGGAGAGTCCAGACCAGAAATACAGGTTTGAGAGGCATCTGTCTCTGAGCGCTACACATACATGCCGGCCTTGTATTTCAGACTTCGGCTCTCGTTTTAATTACGACACTGACAGAGTCATCCTTTCCATTATTTCAAATTGTTCATCTCACAGAGCAACATTCCCTGCATACTCAGCACTGTAATGACCAATTTTGCAATACAATCCCTGGGGAGTTTGCTAAATAGAGTCCTTAACCAGGTGTGGTGATGCACACCTGTAATCCCAGCACTCAGGAGCCTGAGGCAGGAGGCCAACCATGAGTTTGAGGTCAGGCTGGGGTGTATAGTGAGTTCACAGTCAGCCTGAACTACTTAGTGAGACCCTGTCTCAAAAAGCAAGCAAACAAACAGTATACACACAGACAGCCCCCTGAGTCCCACCGCCAGAGGTTCTGATTTGGTGCAGGGTCATTCACCAAATATCCGGCTCCATCTCTGAAGCTCTGGCCGTGGGTGGGATCATGTGACAAGTTCCGAACAACAGATTGTGAGTAGATGTGACAGCAGTCACTTCCTCTTTCTTCTTCCCTGGCTGCAGCTGCAGCAAGAAGACTTGGTCTCTGGGTGGTAGAGCCATAAGGGAGAAGCAGCCTGAGTGCTGCCTGAAAAATTTCCTAGAGGCCTCTGAAAACCAGAGTGGATTTTGCAGGAGGGACAGATAAACCTTTCCACATTAAATTGCTGAGGTTTTAGAGTGTGCCTGTCACTGCAGCATACCCTAGCCCATTCTGACCAAGACGGCTTGCCCTCTGTTGCCTGGGAAGCCAGCTTCCCAGACAGGCACTGTTGTTAATCTGGTGCAGTGACCTGCTGATGGTACTTCGTGACTAATGACTGAACTGCTGGCACAGGTGTCACAGGAACATTAAAAACTTTCTCTGAGCTGGGTGTCTGCACACGCCTGTAATCCTAGCACATGGGAGACTGAGGCTGGGGGATGGCTGTGAGTTTGAGGCCAGCCTGGGCTGCATGGTGAGTTCAAGGCCAGTCTGAACTACATAGCGAGACACTGTCTCAAAAAAACCAAAACCCAAAAAGTCTTTCTCAATGCCCTCATCATTAGATCCACCACAAAGGACATTTGGCTGGTGAATAGTGTGCCCTTCATCCAGACCGGTTTATGGTGTATACACTGAAAGAAGAATGATTCACCAGCAGCATTCATGTGTTAAGCACAGCTTGAGTATTTACTATGCACAAGGCACAATACTAGGTGATTCACATACTTTATTTATATTTTCTTCCCTTGCAAGGTAAATAGGAGTATAGGCAGCTTGGAAGTAGTAGAATGTGATCTGAACCAACATCTTTCTGATTCCAACCTTGTACTTTGATCTATATGCTTTCAGTTTGCAAGCTTTACTCCTGTTAAATAAAAATTAGAGGAGGCCATTGTTTTGGACTAGCCTCCCTGCGCTGGGCCCTGACAGACCAAACTAAAAGCCAGAATGGGGTCACTCGTGCTAACGTTCTGCATCACTGAACCTAAACTTAATTGTTATCTGACAGTCTGAGAAATCAGGAGAGTGAGAGAGAATAGCCAAATTTCCCAAACACGTTAGTATCGGTATGCATGGCTGTGACATTTAATCATTTGCTTTAATCCTTAACAACAAAAAAGAACATCAGTGTTAAAGTAGCCAGTTATTTTCCTATTGTTCTAGCTCACTGTCCCACCTTACAAGGAAGGTAACTCTTTTTTTTTTTTTTTTTTGGTTTTTCTCCAGTACTGGGAACCGAACTCACAACCTTGCGCTTGCCAGGCAGGCGCTTTTGCCACTGAGCTAAATCCCCAGCCCCAAGGAAGGTAACTCTTAAATGGCCAATCTGCTGTTCGTTCTTTGTCTCTGCTCTCCTTAGCACTTTTCTGTCTGTAAAACCAGCCTCCTCTCCTGCCTGGTTCTAGAATCACAAATAAAGCCAATTGAGGCCTTTTAACTCAACTTGTAATTTTTTCCTTTGATGCTTCCTGATGTTTTCAGCTGGGGGTCCACAACTGAGGGTGACTTTAGTACCTGAATCAGAATGACTTGCCAAAGTTATGGGTAATACTAGAGATGGTGTCTGCTTTCCATTACTACAACAATTACCTGAGAAAATCAATTTAAAGAGAAAAAAAGGGGGCCTGTAATTCCAGCACTCTAGGAGGCTGAGGCAGGAGGATGGATTTTGAGGCCAGCCTCTGCTGCATGGTGAGACACTATCTCTCAGAAACAAAAACTAAAGAAAAAAGTCTTATTCTGGCTTCCCATTGCGGTCCGTGATCTGTTTGCCCTATTGCTTTGGGTAGGGCAGCAGATCGTGGTGACAGCACAAGGTGGGGTAAATCTGTTCACCTAATGCCTGAGAAGTAAAAAGTGAGTGAGGAGGAGGCTGTGGTCCCATGGTCTCCTTCAAGAACACGCTCCCAATGACCCAACACCACCCACTAGGCCCCACCTCTTAAAGGTTCTGCAGCCTCCCGGAAGCACCCCACTGAGGACCAACCTTTTACCTATAGGTGTTTGGGGAACACTTAAGATCCAAACTATAGTGGTATATAATTTTAAATAGCAAGAAATTTTACTGGGAGAGGTGGTACGTGCCTGTAATCCCAGCACACTGAGAGGCTGAGGTAGGAGGATCTTAAGTGTGAGCCCAGTACAGCCAGGAAATTTAGCAACTTAAAGAGACCTTGTCTCAAAAAAAAAGGAGGTGGTAGCGAGGATATAGCTCACCATCCAGTGAAGGTGCTGGATTCAATCCCCAGTACTGCAAAACAAAACAAAATGAAACAAAACAGAAACACACACATATCTATCTACTTTGGAGACAGTTTTCCAGCTTTTAATTTTTCTAACAATAAATGGAAGATTTTTTCTATTTCTAAGGGTTGCAAAGCAAGTTTATTTTGGGGTTACAACTCCTATGGAAATCACAAACTTTAATGAGCTAGCGTATCAGCAAACCACATTGGCAGTACAAATTACTCATATTTACTTTTGTAAAACTTCTTTACAAAATCTATGCACTGGCTATGTCAGGAGCCTAAAAATTACTCTCCAAATCAACAGTCCGTATGGCTCATTCTCGATTTTCAATGCAGTGCCCTCACCTGCTTAAAGGCTGCACTTTTGTCTTCTTAAGGTGCTGGGCTGAAGATCTTCCTGTTTTCTCCCAATCAGATCCTCTTTGGCACAGGTGGCTGGACAAGCCATGCAGATTAAGGAACAGTCAGGAGCCACATAAGGCCAGAGTTCAGCCAACTAGTGGGTGGCCAGTGGAAGGGATGGAAATGTTTAGGTAACCATAACAACCACCACTACAGCAAACAACAAATTATCCCAAAAGTCTTCCTAGTAAGAGAAACCATTGTCCGAGCACATTGTGGGTGTACATTTTAACCCTGTTAAATGTCAAACTGGCTGATAAGTTCAAATGTTGACAAGCACTCAAAGGGGTCTTTTCTTATCAAATAGAGAACCTTGTTGCAAAGTCATTATCTGAAGTATACAACAATCGGAAATCTGGTTAGAAACCTGCACTGAAAGGACCTCTGGTTTAATTTTTTCTTTAACTCCTTTTCTGTAATGGGTGGCATGAAGTGGAAGGTTACAGAGGGACACCAAAACTTGGAAAGAGGAGTCCGGCGTGGTGGTGCACGCCTGTAATCCCAGCACTCGGGAGGCTGAGTCAGGAGGATTGCTGTGAGTTCGAGGCCAGCCTGGGCTACAAAGTGAGCTCAAGGCCAGCCTGGACTGCAGAGCGAGACCCTGTCTCAAACAACAACAACAACAACAACACAAAACTGGGAAAGAGATTTATCCTGCTATTGCTGAAAAGGTTAAGTGGGTGATAGAATTCAGTGCCACCCCTCCCCAGAGCAGTTGCAAAGTTTGGAATAATTACATCCAAACCCATAAATATTGCTAACCATGATTTTCTTCAGTTCAATTTTCAAACAAAGGAGCAAAGAAGAAAAATGCCCCTGCAGGTCCAAATTGCCCCATTTCAAGAATCCTTACCTTGCCTGTGGCAGGAGCCACAAAGGAAGAAATTGAACTCGGTGAAAGTTTATTGAATGTGCTATACCGATTATTTGAGAATTGCTTGTTCCCAAAGCCCTTTAGAAAGCAGTCATCCTATGAGGTTAGCTTTTGGACCAGTTACCTACCTGCAAGTGTCAGACAGCAAATAATTGCTCCAGTGCCTAAATGAATGGGGAATCTCTAGAAGGAATTACTGCTTCTAAACGAGTCAGCTCAGCCCATTATCTCTGCCTCAGTTGTTGATGAATCTGGCCATGTGTCCAACCCTGTGGGCAAAGATGGAAAGGGGGAAGGAGTTTAAATTGGTAGAAAGAAAGGCTGGACAGAGCCACCCAGAGCTTATCAGCCGAAGGCAGAGTCCACTGCTCTATGGAGCAACTTTAACTTTCTCCTCTGCTGGGCACACTGAACATGTTTCACCTCCAAAGTCTCGGCCCCTAGTTGCATCATACAACCTCTGAAGCTCTGACCCTTTCCTCACAGTCTTTGCCAGTGCTAAATAAACTTCACAAGGAAGTCTAACAGACCGAGATCCCTGACACACACCTGTGTTGCAGTGTAGGACTATCAAAGTAGGCCATTTCCAAAAGAAAGAAATGGAAAGGATTTGGCAAGGGAGGGGAATCTGTGCATGATAGGAAAATACTCCAGGATATTACAGTAATGTATTTCCAATAATGCTTAAAAACAAACAAACAAACCAGGTATTCAAGACTTCTAAGGTATTTGTACCTTCTGAAAAGCAAGTTATACATTGTTAGATATCCCCAGTGTCGCTAATAGCCAGAGGGCTTGGGGTTCATAGAACTTCCTCTGCCCTGGGAGAAGCCAGGCCATGAGCTAGCTCAGCAGTCTCTGGCTCAGGTCTTGGGTTTCCTAGCACTGCATTTGATCCCATGTTAAATGAGAGAAGCAATGGTTGTTGAGGGCTCTTTCGTTTTAAAATTCTCCTCTGAGCTTGGGGTACAGATGGGCTGTGTGGTCTGGACAATGGTGGAAGGCTGTGGGCAGCAAGCTTGGAAGGTTGGGCTTTGGAGGAAGTCTCTAGTGATTTCATCTTGGAGCTTAACTGAAAAAAAATTTTTTAAAGGCTCCCATGCATGGAAGACCAAAGAGAACTGCGAAGGCCTCGGGGGAACTTGCAGATCTAGAGCTGTACGGATTTGGGAGGGAGTAGATCGTCAGCAGCCTGACTCCACGGTGGCTGTGTACCTGGAGGCTGGGACCTGGGCAAGTGACGGCAGTGTCCTGGCCTTGATGATGGTCCGCTATTCCCTGCAAATGAAGAACTCTCGGGAACTCTCTTCCTGAGCCCTGCCGACATGAAGAATGAGCCCCGTCCGCTGAGCCACCAGCTTCCTGCTTGATCTTCCAATTCAGGAACACCTAATTAGGCAGCTCGTTGTCACCTGCATAAATCACAGATCACAGGATGGCTTTATTGCTGTGCACTAGCCTGTATCTTTTGTTCTGTCTTCAGCCCAAGTTTAATATTAATATTGATTCATCATATTGAACACTCAACTTAATTGTGAGCACATTACATCTTAGAGTCAACACCATTGGTTTAGAATGCGTTACAAAGAAGATATGAATTGTTTCCTAAATAGCTACGCCTGGGGTTAGTTGCATAAGTAACAGTAATTAAGCAAACGCCTGAGATGATTACTTACTAATTAAAATGTATTTTATTTCTCTACTTAAAATTTACTTTGTAACCATATCTGTGAAAACTATTAATAGAAGTATAAAGTGTGCCTATTAAATGTGTCACTTAACTGACAGAGATGTATGCGACTTTAATAGAATAATAATATAAAAATGTCATTTCTTCTAAAAAAAAAAAAAGTGTTACTTGCTGGGCATGGTGGTGCACGCCTGTAATCCCAGCACTTGGGAGGCTGAGGCAGGAGGATCGCTGCAAGTTCGAGACCAGCCTGGGCTACAAAGTGAGCTGAAGTCCAGCCTGAACTGCATAGTGAGACCCTGTCTCAAAAAGACCCCCCCCAAAAAAAAATTAACACATAATAATTGTACATATTTATGGAATGCAGTGTGTGACATTTCAATACATGCATCCAATATGTAATTATCAAACGTATAATATCAGGTAACTAGCATACTCATCACCTCAAAATTTATCATTTCTTTGCCCTGCAAATATTCACAATCCACTTTATCATTTTGCAATATATGACTAATTGTTGTAACCCATATTTTACAAATTACTATTTGTCATGTAAGGACTCGGGAAGAACTGTTTTCAAAGTAGTTTGCTTGATATTTGTTTTGTTTTGCTTTGCTTTGTTTTGTTTTGAGACAGGGTCTTGCTGTATTCAGTTCAGGTTGGCCTTGAACTCACTATGTAGCCCACAGTGGCCTTGAACTTGCAGTGATTCTCCTGCCTCAGCCTCCCAAGTGCTGGGATTACAAGCATGCACCACCACACCTGGAGGCAAATTTTGATGCTCCCAATCAGATTTGTTTCATTTCCAATGTAACGTCCGCCTTTCACCCCAGAAGTGTCAAATGCCACTCTTTGTTGGGCACTGGTGGGACACCTAAGTGCAGTAGAAATTGACAACAAGCACTTGATGCCTTTCTGCTTTGATTTACCTTGTAGAGCTCTTTTGTTGTCAAGGATGAAATCTCAGACAACTCATCCTCTTTCAAGGTTTTATATTTGAGGCAGACAACTTTCATCTGGACATCTTTGACCTGCACTGCACACATCCCATCATCTAAACCACTCTCTGTCTCTGGGCTGGGCTCAGTCAGGTGTCAGCTGTGGATGGATAAGGGAGAGGATGAGGGAGGAGTTGCAGGCAGGAAAGCAGCAGATGGAGCATTAGGAGTAAGAGTGATGTGGTAGCACCAAGGTCAGGGGAACACGCAGGCCAGGCACGTGGGTGAGAAGCCAAAGGAGTCAAATCTTGCATACAGTTGATGAGAACAAATGGGTGACGTCTCTGCAGAACTGACTGGGAGGAGGAGCCTGTATTCGGGGGCAACATTCAGGAGGCTACATGGCTCTTACAAGGGCAGCATGGTGATAGTATTGATCAAAGTGACAGCTTTCAATCCTCTCAGAGGAGGAGAGGGTCAAGGATCCTTTAAGAATAGGATGAAAGCTATGGGTCTTCTCAGAAAAAAATATGCATAGGTGTACCAAGTATCACATGTAATTTTGGGGCTCCCGGGATCCCAGTGGATGATGAAATAAATGGATTTGGAACTTCCAAAAGAAATAGGAATATTTGCATTATGTGACTGGTAAGAATCAACAGGGAGGCTTGGCGGAAGCAGCAGTGGGGGGATGCTTCAGAAAGTGGCTAGAATGATGGGCTAAGTGTGTTGGAGGCCACAGGGAGTATTTGGATGGGGATTAATGGCAATGAGTCTCTTACTGTAATAAGTTAACACTTACTGTATATTTTGAGCACACTGCATAGCTTTGGGGACCTATTAGGACAGTTATGTCATAGTAGGCCTAAAAGACTGCCACTCTTCTGCACATGTGACAACTAGAATCCTATTGCTTCTGTACTTTTCATAGCACTGGTCTCTTAGCAGAAAATATCAAATGATGAGGGAGGTCTTCAATCCAAGGATGTCAGCGTCTGGCCTATTATCTAATTAATAGGCTGTTCATATACTGGATGAAACACAACCCTACACAACCTTCACTGATGTTTTCAATGAGGACTCTGAGATACACAGCATCTTTTGTTGTGGTCTTAGTTGCTTTTCTCTTGTTGCTGAGGCAAAATATCTGACATCCAAAGTTAAAGAGGGAAAAGTTTATTTAGCTCACAGTTTGTAGAAGTTTCAGTTCATAATTGGCTGGCTCCAAGGCAGAGCGGCATATCACAGACAGGCATTGCTGGCTGAGGATGTAGCTCAGCGGCACAAGTGCCTGCCTAGCAAGTGCAAGGTCCTGAGTACGATTCCCAGCACACAAAAAAATTATTGTGATAACTATAAGTTTGAGCTGAAGATATAGCTCAGTGGCACACATGCCTGCCTGGCAAGAGCAAGGTCCTGAGTTCAATTCCCAGTACCAAAAAATAAAACAAAAATGGGGATATAGCTCAGCAGCACAGCGCCTGCTTGGCAAGCATGAGGTCATGAGTTCGATTTCCTGTCCAAAAAAAAAAAAAAACACAGACAGGCATTGCAGAAGAGAAACAATTCTTGGTTGGCAGAAGGTAGCAAAGCAGGCTACCTTCTGTGAAGGTCTCTTCTGTTCAGGGACCTTAAGAACATCTTTCTGTTCCTTTTATCTTACCCAGACACTTAGGGCAGGTAGCACTCACACCCTTAGTCCTAGTGCCCTCGAGCCTAGCATTACACCATGAATCAATTCCAGCATCACACACTCTAGATTCAGCCTCCCTGGAAAAGCCCCACCCATGACCAAATGAGGCTTTGAGGGGACATCTAGATACAAACCATAACAACCATTGAGGAAGAATCAGAAAATAAATCCCCTAGGTCTTTAGCAGCATTATGTATGATAAGAGTTGAAGGAAAAGAAAATTCTTTTCCCATCTGAGCTCCAACTACCTTGGTCTGTTCAATTAGAGGAAGCAGGGCTACCTCAAAGGGGACCTGTCCTGGGTGAGGGGCTCCTGAAGGGTCTCACACAGGACTAATCAGGCCTTTAAGTCAAGGAGGAAGCAGGAAGACAGGGAAGAAGTCCTCAGTATCAGAACCTGTCAGCGGAGAACAGATTTAGGGGAAAGAACTGAAGGTTCAGGCCAGACAAATACATGAAGGACAGACCCTGCTGAATTGGACCAGCCCCGTGACAGCAGAGGTAATAGCCTTAGGGGAAGGGAAGAAGGGAAGACTTATTCCTACTCAAGGTGATCAAAGGGGAAAAGGACATACTGTCCAACTACAATATGGCAGAATGGACTAACCAGGAAAATTCAAGAAACTGAAGTTCTGTGACTTTTGTTTTTGGAGACAGTGTCTCACTGTGTAGTTCAGACTGGCCTTGAACTCACTATGTTGGCTAGGCTGGCTTTGAACTCCATCTTCCTCTATCTTCCTGCCTCAGCTTCCCCGAGTGCTGGGATTACGTACAGACCTGTGCCACCATGCCTGGCCTCTGTGATGTTTTTGATACAGGAATAAAATTCCTAAATTTAGTGAAGTCTGTTTGTGTGACAGATATTTTGCTTGACTTTTCGAAGGGCTCATAATGCCCATTAATTAGGCAGCTCCCTCCTCCTCTCCAGTGCACGGTTCCTTCTTGTGTCATGGGTGGGCTGTTCTCCCATCGCTGGAGCAGGCTTGGGGCTCCCTCAGCCTCTGAGAATCAGTAGTGCAGTGTCTGGGCATCAGATCTATTGTTCTGCAAGGATAACAAGTGTTTCCTCCCTGTTGTCCTCCTTTTCTTTGAATATTAAATCCCTTCTGCCAAGCAAAAAGCTTCTATTCCATGGTGCATTTCCAATACGTGTAAGTTTAAGACCACCAGGCAGAGTGGGCTGAGATCGCTACAAGCAGCGTCAGCCCAGGAGGGCTGCTTGGAATCCCAGTGCCTTTGTATTTACCAAAGCCAGGACAGCCAGGCTTGCTAGTGCTGGATTTGGACCCCTACTGAGTCCATTTGCGCTTTTGTCACCTTGCCAATGGCTTCTCACCCTCCCCGCTGTTCTAGGCCTCTGTGACTATCGCAGCTGCACAGCAAGGCCTGCTCTATCCTTTCCCCGCTTAACCTCACCTCCCTGTGAGTTTTCCAGCAGGGACCATGTTCTATGTGAGGGGTCCCTCCTGTGATGACACAGTGTTTCCAGGCGATTAACACCCTTCCCAGAGAATACCAGCTTTGTGTTAGGTACCCTTAATTCTCAGAGTCCAGCGCTGTGCTTGGAGCCCAGTCCACGCTTAATAAAATAAATAGTCAGAGAAATCAAATGCGTAGATACAGTTAGGGCTTAGTGTGAAGCATAACAGATGCTCCTGGCATTTCTAAAAGTTTGCGGGATGATATAACAACGATGTCACTACTTTGACAATCTCAGCTGCTCTTGCCAATACTCTGAATCCTGAAGATTCCTGGTGTTTTGGTTCTGTGGATGATGATGATTTGCCATGACTTAGAGCCAGGAGGCCAGGTTTTCTCTTGCATCCTGACCGGGGACAGTTCACTTCTGGAATGTTACACTTAAGCCCACCAACAAAGAGACCAGTGTCACTGGCTGGCATATCAGAGATAATACTTTAGTCCTTCATCTTTATTGCTGATCCTATTTAAAAGAAAATCTCCCCAGCACAGTTCATGTGATTGTTCAGGGTCTTATGCCAGGATGTATAAAGTTTTACAGCAATTGAAAAACTAACAAATAAAACCCAAGGCAGTAAATAAATCACCATGTTCATTAATTCAAAACACTGAACATCAATTTGTAGAATGCCATAACACGGTATAAAATAATACTACCCGGCAGCATAAGAATGGGAAAGTGGGAATTAATTTTATTTTAATTTTTAATGCACTTTTGACAGCTCAAAAATGATATTAAACATTAACATAATTTAATCTGTAGGTTGGCATTTATTAAACCACTGATTTGCAAGCAAAATAAGTGGCATGTATTTTTAAAGCATTAAAGATTCAGTAGTGATAATTAACTTGAAGGTCAAGGAGGAAGCCATTATCAGCACATTCTGCAGAATCCCCTTAGATTATGCAGCCATATGCTGAAAGAATGTGAAAAGTTGCCCTCAGATGCTTGGAACTTTTGAGAAACAC